GTGTCTTAAATAAGAAACCTGTTTTCCAAATGTTAAAAATTATAATGGAATTTTTTAATAATTTATTTATATATCATTAATTAAAATATGTGACAATTTTTTTCTAACTTAAAATTATATTTAGAATATAAATTATATATAATATAATACATGGATCATCCACTTCAGCCAGCTGGTCAGTATCAACAGGTGCCAGCCAATTATCCCCCTCCTCAGCCATATTTTCAGCAGCCTGGTTATGGGCCTCCACCAGCTGTTCAGTATGCTGCTCCTGGATACCAGCAATATGGTGCGCCAGGTGGATATCAGCAACCTATCATGCAACAGCCAGGTAACTACATTAATAGAATAATATCAATGCAGATATAAAATGTAAATTAAAAATAACTTGTAAGAGTTGCAAAATGGGATATTCCATAATCATCCTCCATTTATTGATGATTCTTGTGACAATAAAAAAATGATTAATTGAAAAATTGTAAAACAAAAATTTATACTTGTACTAAACTTTTCTTTGCGATGCAAATTGAGTATTTTTACTTTTTATTTATTTTGTGATTCAGTTTAAACAAAATATTTTTTATTGTAAAGTTTTGTATGTAGAATAGTAATAGAAAATTTCTAATTTTATTGTTGCACTATAAAAGACTTTATGCTTTAAGAAAGGAGAAAAATATTAGATTTACTTACATAGAGAGGGAGAAGGAGTGATTTAATAGAAATATTAAAGTTATTGAGTTTAAAAATTTTTATTAAATTTGAACAAAAATTTATGTCCTGATATTTTATAACAACTTCAATAATTTGCTAAAAAATATGTATTCATTACCAATTAACAAATAGATTATTGAAAATAGGAATTTATTTTCATCAGATGTGGTCAATTATATATGAAAAGCATATGCGAGAGCATATTCTTTTTATAAAGGATTTGAGTTGTATGCGTTCCCATCCAGCTGATCATGCAATGAGCTGAACATATATGACATTAAATTGGATTGCTGGCTTAGACATATTTTTTAAAATAATTTTTTTTTCTTCAAACAATCACTGCATAGTTTAGAGTCAATATTAGGATCATTGTCCTACTGTACAATAAATTCAATACCTTTAAATTGCTTCCCAGACAGACAGACACTGCTTTTTTATTTTAATAAGTTCTTTTATTTTAATAAGTTACTCAGGTCAGGTCAGGTTTATCCTGCTACTGGTAACATGTAGCCCAGTACAATCTGCTTCATGTCCTGCTGCCTTGTAGGATACACCTTTTTAGGCAAAGGCTAGGAGATGCCAACTCCGACATAAAACACCCCTGTCTTGGAGCTCTTGGTTGAGTAAAGGCTAGAGATGGTATCTCAATAAAAATACTCATCTTGGGCAGATGTTAAATGCATCCCGCTGCTGTCTTGTAGAAGACCTCCTAGGCAAAGACTTGAGGAGTAAACAGATTCTATCTGTTGACCAGCCTTGCACCCCTTCATCTATTAGGCTGGCGCAGTATTTTAATACATTGTTTCCTGTTTGGGATATTGAATACTGTATCTTCTTGACTCAATGCATGGATTTTGCTTGTATCTCTGTTTTTATGACTAGACAACTCATTTTATTATCTCCTAATGAGGGTACAGCTCTAAAACTCAGTTTTATGGTTCTGAGGCCGGCTGGTAGTCAGGTTTCCTGAACTCTGTGGTAGCTCTCAAAGAGGCTGATTCCATCAACAGCTAAAAAATATCAAAGTACTAACAGTGCCATGTTGCGCATGGATGGTGTCCCTGTTTGTACTTTTGGTGTGCAAGGCCACATTTGAGCCCTTTGTTACGGCTTAGGTTTATTAATAGTAATGAGGCAATTGCTTGGACTAATAAACAGTGCACTGAGTACTATCTATGTTTCGAGGCAAGTTATTTAACAAATTTGAAAATGAAGTAACAAAAACTATAAAACACAAAAAAACCACTGTCATCACCAAGTTGGCTAAACCTATCATTCACTAATATTCGTGGTCTTCAAAGTAACTTTACTTCTGTTGAGTCTTATCTTTTGCAAAGTTCATCAGACCTACTTGTTCTTTGTGAGACTAATTTGAGTTCAGCTGTCTCATCTTGTGATCTTAGTGTTGATGGTTATTTTCCTTTAATTCATAAAGACTCCAATAGTCACATGCTTGGCCTGGGCATTTACATTCGTAAGAATTCACCTATTTATTGGGAAACTAGGTTTGAATCCACAGACTACTCTTTTATGTGCTTTCGTTTAGCACCACTTCACTTTATCACTTTTCTCTATATCGCTCTCCTTCATCTCAAGACTGCATTCTGTTATTTCTGATCATATTGACCAAGTCCTCTTTTTTTATCCATTAGCCAATATTGTTGTTGTCGGTGACTTTAATGTTCATCACACTGAATGGCTTGGTTCTAGTGTCTGTGACTCTGCAGGCATTTAAGCCCACAACTTTTGCCTTTCTAAATCCCTAACTTAAATAGTCAACTTTCCTCATAAAATCATTAAATCTCGTATTTCATCACAAAAATTAGGCTCTCATGACTTCTGGAGAATCTTTAATAGTATCAATAATAAGGGCAAGTCTGTAATTCCACCTCTTTTAAATGGTTCAGACTTTGTCACCTCACCTAAAGACAAAGCTGAATTGTTTGCTAAGAACTTTTCATTGATATTATCTCTTGGTTCCACTAGTTGCATTCTACCTGATATAGACCTTAAACAAGTTGATCCATTGCTCGACATCATTATCTCTCCAGCTTCTGTATCTAAAGTGATTTCCTGCTTAGACTCTTTTACAGCTTGTGGCCTGGACAACATACCTATTATAGTCTTGCAGAAGTATTCTCCAGAGCTGTCGTCTATCCTTTCAAAACTGTCAAAAAAAACAAAAGACACTGCTTTCCAAAACTTTCAAAAAAACAAGCACTTGTTGAATACAACAAGTACTTATCAGAGTCTTTTTTTCCAACCTGCTGGAAAGCAGCATCTGTTATCCCTATTTTTAAAAATTCTAGAGAGCAATCTGATTCGTCTCAGTACCGTTCTGTTAGTCTTTTTCCTATCATAAGCAAGGTTTTTGAATCTTTAATTAACAAACACTTAATCTCTCATCTTGAATCTAATAACTTACTTTCTGATCACCGATTTGGATTTCGATCTTCTCATTATACAGCTGATTCGCTAACAGTAATAACCGATAATTTTTATTCTGCATTATATAGAGGTGAAGAGGTTAATCATAATATAAAAGTTGTCCTCAATGGACAGCGCTCTTCTTCTTATCCTGTAATTTCAAGGGTTCCTCAAGATTCAATCCTTGGCCCTATACTCTTTTTAATTTACATTAACGATCTTCCAGATATTCTCAATATAAGGTGGCATTGTTTGCTGATGATACTACCATTTATTCTTGTTATGATAAGAAGCCAACACTCTCTGGTTGCTTGGAGGGGCATTTGAGCTTGAAAAGGATCTCTGTTCTGCTACAGCATGGGGCTCACAGTAGCTGGTGAACTTTAATTCAGATAAAACTCAATTTTTTTTCGGCCAGTTGTTATCGCAATAATTTAGACCTTCCTATATTTATGAATGGTAATGGACTCGATGAGTCATCTACCCTTCATCTTCTAGGATTATCTCTTACTTCTGATCTTTCTTGGAAACCTTATATCAAATTCTTTGCAAAATTAGCATCTGCTAAAGTTGCATCTATTTATCGAGCTCGTCACTTTCTTACTCTGGATTCTATTCTCTTTCTCTATAAATCTCAAATCCAGTCTTGTATGGAATACTGTTGCCATATCTGGGGCGGATTTTCTAATGATGCCCTTTCTCTTTTAGACAAGGTGCAATAACGCATTGTGAACATAGTTGGACCTGCTCTTGCAGCCAATCTTTGTCACATTGTTGTAATGTTGCTTCTCTTTCTCTTTTCTACAAATACTATAATAGGCACTGCTCTAAAGAGCTAGCGTTTCTTGTACCATCTACTAAAATTCATTCTCGTGTTGCTCGTCATTCAATAAAGTCTCATCCTTTTTCTGTTACTGTTCCTATGTGCTCCAAAAACTCTTAATCATCTAGTTTTTTTCCTGGAACATCAGTTTTTTGGAATTTGCTTACATCATCTTGCTTTCCTGATTCATATAATTTGCAATCTTTTAAGTCGTTTGTCAATCGTTATCTTGCTCTACAATCTTTATCTTTTTTCTTCCAGTAACTTACAACACTAATTAGTGGTTGCTTTCAGCCTTGTTGAAAGCGAAGATGTTTAAAAAAAAAAAAAAATTTAAATTAAGTTCCCCTTTTAAATTAGTATCCCCTTGAAAAATTTAAATTTTTGTTTAGATTATTTAAGGTAATCATAATTATATTTTATGTTTTCAAACTATTTCAATAATATTTTAGTAATAATTTAGTTAAATATTTACATTGTTTCTAATTTAGTTTAAATATTACATTAAGTGTTTTTAATTTTTTTTAAATTAGAAAACAAACCTTAAAGGTGTAGGTGATATTATAATATTATAGTATTATAATGTGATATTATTTTTTTAAATTAATGTTTTTTAAAAACATTTAATGATGACAAAAAATCTTAAGTTTAAAAGTTCCATTAAAAAAACTACTAATAAATGATTTTAAGCAGTTAAAAAAAAAGTCTCCTTGATTGTATTAAAAAAACTTAAAAACAGACAATTGCAATGTTTCATTGCAATTGTCTGTTTTTAAGTTTTTTTTTATTTAATTCAACTATCAACAATTTACCTTTCTTATTATATGCTGTTAGCATTTGTTTTTAGCAGGGGAACAATGGATGGCTTTCCCTCATGCGCCTCCACCTGGTTGTCCGCCTGGCCTTGAATACCTGATGCAAATTGATCAACTACTAGTAAAACAACAGGTTGAGCTACTTGAAGGTAAATATATCTATTTTATATTGCATGATAATATATACTTCTAATAATATGTAATACATTCTTTTGGTTTTTCTATCAAGTTATTACCTGACACATTAGAGTCAACAGTATTTGATATTTACATTAGTTTTTGAAAGAAAGAAAAAATTACATCTATATATATTAGTATAGATAACAATTTATTTATTCTGAGAAATCTTTAACAACAAATTTCACTAAATTTAAGCTTGAAGTATGTATTGAAATTTACTTTTAATATCATATCTTAATTATTTTTCCAATTGACTTCATAGTAAATAATTTGATGTATATACATGTATATATATATATTAGGGCTGTACCGGATTTCGGCTCCGGCTCCTGCTCCGACCGAAATCCGGCCGTTTTTACAAATCCGGCCCAAATCCGGCTCCGGCAAAAATTTAGCAAATCCGGCATAATTTTAGCCGGAGTTTTGAATTTTGTCAAATATTTATTACATTTTTTTTGCCCGTGTTTACATGTATACCTAATATTTTATTTATAAAAATCAATTTTTTTTGTAATTATATATTTTATGAACCTCATATTTGTTTTGGTATTTGTATTCATATTTCTTTATAATTTAATAAGCTTAGTCTAATTTCAAACAACAACGCAACAAAAAATTCTGAAGGGAAGACACACGATATTCTACAATGATGCAGGTATAAAGACTATGATGTCAACCCTAATCAAATGATTGGATGAGCATTTTAAAAGCATTGAAAAGAGAAACCTCTTTATATACTGACGAGGCTGGTTGACTCACAATTTAAAACTAAATTCTCCTCATTAGAGGCAACACTGAGAGCTGAAAAAACAAGATTGAAGTCAATCTGAGCATGCTGAACAGAAGATTGACAAAAGTGAAGAAAATCCATCAAAATAAGCCGGGCTTAATAATTTTTCTACATCATCATCATCATTACTCTGGCAATTTATTGATAAAATTATTCAGTCTACGTCCGCTGATGGCAGGGCACATAAACAACAATTACTATAAGGCATTGAAACTCAGCTAAGGAAATATCCGAAAGAACCAGAAATAAATAGACACAATGATCCACTACAGTGGCGGAGTGACAAAATCCCGGAAAAAAATTTCAATAGAATTACTATAAACTTTTAAAACATATGGCCTATAGAATTTCTTTAGAATTTCTATTAATTTATATATAGAAATTGCTATAAAACTTTTTAAATAACAAAAATGAAGTTTAACAGAAAAAAGCAGTCACTTAGTATTCTGAATAGTCCACATTGTTGACCATGCTCAACACTAAGTAGAGATGTACAGGATTTTGGCTCCTGTATTTTCTTTTGAAATCCGGCTCCGATTCCGGCCTGATCTGTCAGTAGAAATCCGGCAAATCCGGCTCCGGCCGGATTTGAAAAAATTAAATCTGGTACAGCCCTAATATATATATATATATATATATATATATATATATATATATATATATATATATATATATATATATATATATATATATATATATATATATATATATACATATATATATATATACTTACATGCAATAGTATTAAGTTCAGCTTAATATAAAGAGGTACATGCTTGCATGCATCAATATAAAGGCGATTCTATGAAGTGTTATTTCGATTTTTGAATTTGTTGAGTTTTTAAAGAATATAGTATTCTTCAAGAACTCAACAAATAATAATCAGGTGTATGACAATTTGAGTGATTTTTTGTTTTAAAGACACTTTTTTTTTTTTTTCACTGAAAAAAAGGTCTAAAAACATCCAGAACAGCTCTAACACTTGATTAATTTTAAAATTAAATATTGTAATTATTTAGTTTTTACTATAAATATATATATATTTTAAGTTGTTTTTAATGATTTGATAAATAAAGTAACAAATGTCTTAATAGCTGTACACAAATGTTTGACTATTACATAAAATATACTTGTCATGAAATAATAAAAGCAAGAGAAAATATTTGCAAAAGATAAAATAAAATTATTATTTATTTAGACAAAAGATAAAATAAAATCAATATTTATTTAGACCTTGCAATGTCTGAATTTATACTTACAAGTTTTATATGAAAAAAAACAACATTTTTTAACATCAGGTTTAAGTAATTAACTGTGTCATACCTAAAAAGTGCACAGTAAGACTAATACTGTGCATTTTATGGTAAAGATATATGATTGTTTACATCAAAAATTGTATAGTAATATTCTAACCAGACAATTTATAGAAAAATTTTAATAAAAAAATTCATTTAGAGAAATAGATTTAATGTAATGATGATGATGTTTTTTTTTTAATATTAACAGTTGTTATTTTATTTATTTATTTTGGTTTTCTAGTTTAAATCTAATTTTTCAATAAAACTCATAAATAATGTTTCAATTGAAACAGGATTGGATTTTTTAGTTACTATCTTGCCAAACATCAAATAATTATTTTTATATTTTTCATTTTATTATAATTGTTGTGTGTGTGACTATGTAAGCAGATTTAGGCTGAAATTAAAAAGGAGCTTACTCAAACTATGTAATTTACAATTCCAACTTATGAGTTTATAGTTACATATTTGGTCTTTGTAATTACATTTTATCTTCTTAATTACAACTTTTATATTCCTTAAGTTTCTCGAAACTTTTATTTTCACATTTGAAAAAGTAAAAAAAAAGGTTTTCATTTTTTCATAAATTATGTATAATATTTAGTTTAAAGTAATTTTAATGTTTTATTTATTTGTTAAATTATATATTATATTTAGTTTAAAATAATTTTATTGTTTAGTTATAACAGGTTTTGAAACAGCCAATAAATACAAAGTAAAGAACTCTCTAGGTCAAAATGTATATTTCGCTGCAGAAGGTGATTTTTTATATTATTTTTTTACTATTAACAGATACTATATTAACTACATGCATGCAAAATTAAAAACAGTTTTGTGAAAAAAAAGTTTTAAAATTGTGGTGTGATCAAAAAAGTGATGAAACAGCATTGCAGTTGCATTGTGATGAAACTACTTTGCAACTACATTGCAGTTGCAGTGACAAAACTGCTAAAGCATTCAAATGATGAATTTTTATTTTTATACTAAGATACGGATTGTTGCACCCGACAGTGTTGTGGACCTGCACGTCCTTTTGATATCAAGATTTTAGATAATAACAATCAAGAAGTAATACATTTAAATAGACCTTTAAGATGTGCTGCTTGTTGTTTTCCATGTTGCTTGCAAGAGCTTGAAGTCACTTCTCCCCCTGGCACTGTTATTGGTTATGTAATACAGAAGTAATAAAATAAAATTGTTCCTATAAAATTTAAATATGCAAGTAAATAATCAGTTTATTAAACATTTTAGGTGGGCATTCTGCGGATCATTATTTGAGATTTGTGATGCTTTAAAACAACCTGTACTGCGTATTGAAGGACCTATTTGTGCGATGAGTATATGCGGTGATGTTGAATTTAAGGTATAAATCATTATTCACATAACATTCAACATTTATATATTATTTACATATATCTTATTCTTATATCTATTGTATTAACAATATTACTTATTAAAGCATGTTTTTTACTTCTAAGTAACACAAGTATTATATTGTACTTACCTAAAGACAAATACAATGGAATACAATTACAATGAAATGGGTACTTGGGTTACTTAGCTCAATTTTAGCTTTTTAAAACAAGGCAAAAAAAATGTGTTGAGAGCAGTTGAATTAAAAATAGTTTATAAAAATGAGATATTCTTATAAAATATTCTCACTATTATTATAAACAAAAAATTTATTATCAACTAATTTATTTTTAAAAAAATTTATTATCGACTAATTTATTTCAACTGAATAAGAGATAAAATAACAATATATAAATTTGACATTTTTTTCATTAAAAAAAAATCTTTTTTCTTATTAAATTTTTTTTTTTAAGTACCGTTTTTTAAAAAGTTAAAAAAGTCAGTTCATTAGACTTTCATAAAAAAAAAATTTTGAGCATTGAAGTTCTGCTTCTTTTAAGACAAATAAATAAAAAACAATTAAAATAAATTGAAGTTTTAAGGCTTTTTATAAATAAATCTGTGAAAGCATCATCATACCTGCATATTTTTTAGACAATTAGCAACTTTACCAAGTATATCAAAATATTAAAATAACATTTGAAAAATTAGTTTTTAAGTTTCTTTATAAAAAAGTGCATAGAATACATTAAAATAGTTTCTATTAAAATAAACAATCAAGCCATGCAAGCTTTTGGTTTTGCACAAGCTTTCTGTTTATTTATGTAAAAATTGCTTACTAAATACAAAATTTGGTTTTATACTTGTTACAAGTATATGTTCGTAACGTTAATGTAGCAATAATATACACATATTGCGTCACTTATTGTACCGTGAAAAAATTCTCTAGACAATTTTTTTTTTGTGCAAAAACCGTGCCTGTTTATTATCCAGTTAATTAAATTTTTTTGACTGCATTTTTCATTTTAATTACAATGATAATTATTCTTTTCAGAGAAAAAAAATACTTTTGTGAGAACTGTAAATTGCTCCTGTAAACCATTGTAGGGGAGTGTGGGCAAGAGCGAAAGCTAAAGCTCTCGCTTCCCGCTGAGGCCTGTACATATGATTATTTATCAAGTATATATATATGATTACTTGTCATATCTATATTATTATTGGACTAATTATTTGATGCTTTTGTGACTATCCATACAGAAATGTTACAAAAAATATTTAGGAAAAAATGTTCTATTTTTTTTTTTTGTGCAGTTTAAAAAAAAACAGCAGTGAGTGATGTGTACAATTACAAACCATAATTCACAACAACACAACTTCTGCATTTGCTTAAATAAAGATAATTTTTTTTTTACATCTATAAGTATTTATGCTCACAAAATTATAAATAACTCATTCAATTGTTTTTTAAAAAAAGTTTACTTAGTAAATTTGAATATATGTTTTCAAAATAACAAAGTTTTTTTAGCAAATTTGAATATATGTTTTCATTGAAACTAAGTTTTATTCAAATTTGAATATATGTTTTGTGGAGGTTAAAACATATAGTTAGTCAGCAATTTATTTTAAAAAAAATTATGTCTTAAGTTAAAATGAAACGAGTCCATCAATTTTTATCCAGAAGTTAAAAAAATGATAATGATTAGTAGAAAAAATATTAAAAATCACTTTTTCCATATACTCAAATTAATTATCAATTAATCTTTGTAAACAAAGAATAACTTTTATATTTTTTGCTATAAATTTATCTTTTATCTCTCTACATAATTATAATACATTTTGTTACTTGTGTTGATAGGTAATGTCATTAGATGGTAGCAGTCAAGTTGGACGAATATCTAAACAATGGAGTGGCTTAATAAAAGAAGCATTTACTGATGCTGATACTTTTGGAATAACATGTCAGTTTTTATTTTACCTTCATATTTTATAAATATAAATTTTTATTTTTTAAGTAGAATTAATATTTAATTTGGTAATGTTACTTTCACTGGTAGTATGCGTTTTATATATACACTTTATGAACACCCATGCATTCACTTAAAATATGCATACAAATACTTATACATTTTTTAAATTTAAACCTCGTTTTAAAAGTTTCATATAATGCGGAAACAATAGCAACAACAGTATAAATTTGCAGTAACATTGTTTGGAATTGTTAAGAGAAAAAGAACAAAACAAAAAAATATAAATATTACGTTTTTTTTTAGTTATTACTTATTTTATTATATATTTTTTTAATTGTTGTTACCTCTCTTATCATTTATAAACTATAGAATTAACTGTTTTCATGACAAATTGTTTTTGAGAAGGCACGGTATATCTAGAAAGAACACTAAAAATATCATGGTTATTTTTAGTGCTCCTATGATTGTTAAACATGTTGTCAAGCTTATTGTATTATTATTTTTGTTTTTTTTGTCTTGATAATAGAATGTTATTTTTTCTGTATCAATATTTTTAAAGATTCTTATATCTTTTATTTTCTGGAAAACTTTCTGCTGTTGTCATTGTCTTGTTTTCATTTGTTCTCTTAAAAATGTTATTATTTTTTTATCAGATGCTCATCTATTTGAGTTGTGACCTTAACATTAAAGTTAACATTAAAGCGTAATGACCTTAACATTAAAGGACATTTTTTTTTGTAACAGAAAGAAAAAAAAAATAATTTAAAACTAAAGCTAAAACTATTTACTATATTTAGATAAAACTCAATTTTTTCAGCTAACCATTAAAATAATAATCTAGATAATAAAAATAATAATTTATGTTTGGTAATGTACTCGATGAGTCATCTACCCTTCATCTTTGAGTCATCTACCCTTCATCTTCTAGGATTTACTCTTAGTTCCAATCTTTCTTAGAATCCATATATCAAATCTATTGCAAAATTAGCATCTGCTAAGGTTGCATCTATTAATCATGTTTGCCACTTTCTTACTTCGGATTCTATTCTTTATCTCTATAAATCTCAAAACTGTCTTTGTATGGAACACTGTTGTCATATCTGGAGCGGATCTTTGAATGATAACCTTTTTCTTTTAGACAAGGTGCAAAAAGACATTGTAAACATAGTTGGACATGCTTTTGCAGCCAACCTCCAACCATTATCACATCGTTGTAATGTTGCTTCTCTTTCTCTTTTCTATGAATACTATAATGGGTATTGCTTTAAAGAGCTAGCCTCTTTTGTGCCATCTACTAAAATTCATTCTTGTGTTACTTGTCATTCAATTAAGTCTCATCTTTTTTCTGTGACTGTTCCTAAGTGCTCCAAAAATTCTTATTAGTCTAGTTTAGTTCTGTTTTCCTGATTCATATAATTTGCAATTTTTTAAGTCATCTGTTAACCTTTATCTTGCTCTATAGATTTCATCTTTTCACTTCCAGTAAACTCTAATAGTGGTTGCTTGCAGCCTTGATGGAAGTGAAGACGTTAAAAGGTATATATATGTATATATATTTAAGAAATATATATATATTTAGTATATATATATATATATATATATATATATATATATATATATATATATATATATATATATATATATATATATATATATATATATATATATATATAAACATATATATATATATAAATATATAATAATATATATATATATATATATATATATATATATATATATATATATATATATATATATACATATATATATATATATATATAAATATATAATAATAACTGCACATATACTTATACAGGGCCTATTCTAGGAAAAAAATTTAGCGGAAAATCGTTTTTTTTTTTTTATTATTACAAAAAAAAACAATATTTGCCATAAAAATGTAAAAAAACGTTAAAAAAAAAAGGTCCTCAAATTTTAATTTGGGCAGCGCTCAAATACTGTCAACGCTGTCGAAAACGGTCTAGAATAGCCCCTGATATATATATATATATATATATATATATATATATATATATATATAAATATAAATATAAATATATATATATATATATATATATATATATATTTATATATATATATATTTATATATATATATATTTATATATATATATATATATATATATATATATATATATATATATATATATATATAAAATATATTAACTTAACAAATAGCACTATTTGCTTAACAATTAATACTATTCTTTAAGCTAATGGTACTACTCGTTAAGCGAAAAGTGCTGTTTGTTAATCAAGAAGTGCTGTTTATTAACCAAGTAGTGCTGTTTCTGAACTATTTGTTTAACAAATAGAATAACAAATAGTACTATTTGTTGAGGGATTAGTGCTTTTTGTTAAGCAAATTCAAACATTCTATTAGTTAATTTAATGTTTTTAGACTTTAGGCATCAAAAAAAATTTATTTACGTTGTCAGCAGCCAAATATTAATTATTATTAATTTTATAAATCATTAATTTTCTTTTTTTTCTGGAAAATATATCTTACATTAAAACAAAAAATAAGCAATAAAAAAAATCATAAATTTTAAAGTTCATTAGTTTGTTTTGTCTTGAACCTTAAAATCATCTAAAAATCAGGATAAATATTTCCTTATAAAACTTAATTATGATATTTTTATTTTCCAATTTTTAAGCAGATTTTAAACAAGAAATCTATATGGATGGTTGGGCTGCTAATAATGTATATGTTATATAATGGTTGTTGATATATATATATATATATATATATATATATATATATATATATATATATATATATATATATATATATATATATATATATATCAACATATATAAACTTTATATTTGCATATATATATATATACATATATATATATATATATATATATATATATTTATATATATATATATATATATATATATATATATATATATATATATATATATATATATATATATATATATATATATATATATATATATATATATATATATATATATATATGCAAATATAAAGTTTATATAAATATAACTTGGTTGATATATGCTAAATTAACTTGGTTGATTAACCAAGTTTAATAATTTACAGAGTCTATTTCTACATCAATTCAACAGATTTTTGGAAGAACTTCAGCTGCTGTTTGAATTCCTTTGAGTGTAGAAGCATCAGTAATATTTGCATTGATTGCCTCTGATTTGTCTTTAGTTGCTTATACTTTTAAAAATAGAATAATCTTCTGTTTATACTAAACTTTTAAAAGCTGTTATTGTAATAAATTTTTAAAAGTTAATTGGATTGATTTTAACTACCAAGAAGTAATCACAACTAAAATCATGATTTATGTAAAGTAATTGTTTCTTGCATACTTTGATATTAGGTATAATTATCAAAGTTTTTGACAATCTCAACTACTTATTTAAATCTTCTTTGCTTTCCTCTTTAGCTTTAGATTTATTATTGTCAACATTATTTTGACCAGGAACTTATTAAAAAACTCCAGGATGTTATTTAGTTACTTAAGTATTTTTGCAGATTTATAAACAGATTATCTGTTTGTTGCTACCTGTTACAGCTTTTTTAAATATAAGAAAATAAAATACCTGTTTGTAAATCTGAAAAAAATACTAACAATTCTAGACATTTATTAAATCAATTCATTTTAATGAATTAAGTTCTATCAATTAATTCTAATCGAGGTATTCATTAATATTTAATATTTAGTTAAAAAAAACCTAAAATAACTTTGATATGACTACTCTGTGTAGTTAAGGCTCTTTTAATATAATAGAGCGTCTGTATGATATTTTGATGACTGCGACTTTTTTTTGTTAAATGGTCTGGTCTGTGAATTATGAAAAGACGAAAAAACTTAAAATGATAAATTTTGCGGTATCATTAAATATATAAATGTTTGTAGCGAAAAAATCCAGACCGATGATTCTTTTTTAAAAAAAAAAATCATCTTAAAATCACTATTGCTTGTACAAATTTAAATAAGATTTTATATTAGCAAGTTTTTTAGGTGAAATAAACATTATAGTTTAAAAATATGATCTGTTCTGATCGTTTATTGGCAATTTTCCAAAATTATAAGCTCTTTCTTGGTCGGAATTCCAGTATCTTTTGTGAAAATTGATAGAAATATTGTCTTTTGACAACTATATATAGTTAATATACGTCATATAGTTAATATAGTTAATATACGTCAGAACCGATTAGAACTAGGATCAGTAGTAAATTAAGAAACTTTTTCAAAAGATTTAAACTAAATTTATGTTAATGCCGATGAGCGGAATTGATCTAAAAACTCCAAATTAGTGTTTTTTAGATACACTATTACGGGTAGTAAAAAGGTTTTGGAAATTATATAAAAAAAAGAAAAGTTTCTTTAAATATTATAAAAACCTTGAGCAAAAAAAATTATAGCATTTAAAGATCTTGTTTGGACATAATATGCTGACAAAATCATGCTAATTCCAAATAAAAGTATTCGAATATTTTGTAAATCGCCTTAACTACACCGAGTAATTTAACTTTTAATTTAAAAGACTTCAAAAGATTACATAGACTTCACATCATCATATTGACATCAAACTTAAAACAAAATATTGAATTCAAAATCAAATGAAGAACTTGACAAAAAGTTGAAGTTGAAGAAGTTGGCAAAAAGTTACTTTAAACAAATGTAATATATAATTTTAACTTTTAGTACGTGGCCCAAAAATAAAATGGTCATGCTGCAATTCCTTGATTCAAAGGCTTTTCTAAAAGTTTTCCTTAAATAATTGATTTGTGGCTGTGCTGGCTGTGTCACTTTATGGGGCACCTTTACAGTCAAGGAGGATTTAAATTAATTTTATTTATAACTCTCAATCCTAAACTTCGCAACAACCTATAACAACGCCACAGCAACAACCTATAACAACGCCACAGCAACAACCTATAATAATGCCATAGCAAAATAAAATGAGCACTTAAAAATTGAATCAATGAATGTCTAGATAAGAATTGTTAGTGTTTTTGCTGCATTTACAAACAGGTATATAAAATATAACTGAAGCAGAATACCTTCTGGATTGAGAGCCAAGCTAGTTTACTACCGCATATAATTGAATAACTTATTTGACAAACCAACAAATATTGAGAGTTGTTTACATTTGTTGGTATTGAGAGCCAGAACTCTAACCACTGCGCCACGGCTGCTCTATTTTTGATAATAATATTTTGTGTTTTAAAATGTGAAAATAAAAATAAACTCGGGTTATTCAAATTATAAATCAGGATTTTATTTTGTTTTTTTAGATTGGGTTTATGTTGTTTTTTTATATATATAGTGAGTTTCATACTAAAGTCCTTCACAATTCAAATTTCAATTATGGAATTTTTTTAATTAAAAAAATAGCATACAATAATAAAAAAAAGGGAATCAATCAAAATTAAGTTTGCCCCCGTTTTATACCCCTGGGCCAACTTAGCCCGATAGCGGGGCGCGTCAGTTCATGAGACATAATCTAACAAAGGCAATTTAAAATGTATTAAATCCAATTATAAACTTTAAAAATGTTACTTATGGGTAATCTAGGGTCTTCTCGACCTTTTTCAATAAAGAAATAAAATAAAAAATGATTGTCTAAAAAGTTACAAATCAAAGTAAAAAAGCGGGCCAACGTGCCTTGTTCTACCTTTCTGTAAATATAGCACAATGCAATAATTCTAAAACAAATTACAAATTATAATACGAGATTTTAATCAATTAATTTTTTTCTTTTAGTCCCAATGGATCTTGATGTTAAAATAAAAGCTGTTATGTTGGGAGCATGCTTTTTAATTGTAAGTTTTATGCTTTTTAATTGTAAGTTTTATAACATGCTTTTTAATTGTAAGTTTTATAACATGCTTTTTAATTGTAAGTTTTATAACATGCTTTTTAATTGTAAGTTTTATAACATGCTTTTTAATTGTAAGTTTTATAACATGCTTTTTAATTGTAAGTTTTATAACATGCTTTTTAATTGTAAGTTTTATAACATGCTTTTTAATTGTAAGTTTTATGCTTTTTAATTGTAAGTTTTATAACATGCTTTTTAATTGTAAGTTTTATAACATGCTTTTTAATTGTAAGTTTTATGCTTTTTAATTGTAAGTTTTATAACATGCTTTTTAATTGTAAGTTTTATAACATGCTTTTTAATTGTAAGTTTTATAACATGCTTTTTAATTGTAAGTTTTATAACATGCTTTTTAATTGTAAGTTTTATAACATGCTTTTTAATTGTAAGTTTTATAACATGCTTTTTAATTGTAAGTTTTATGCTTTTTAATTGTAAGTTTTATAACATGCTTTTTAATTGTAAGTTTTATAACATGCTTTTTAATTGTAAGTTTTATAACATGCTTTTTAATTGTAAGTTTTATAACATGCTTTTTAATTGTAAGTTTTATAACATGCTTTTTAATTGTAAGTTTTATAACATGCTTTTTAATTGTAAGTTTTATAACATGCTTTTTAATTGTAAGTTTTATAACATGCTTTTTAATTGTAAGTTTTATAACATGCTTTTTAATTGTAAGTTTTATAACATGCTTTTTAATTGTAAGTTTTATAACATGCTTTTTAATTGTAAGTTTTATAACATGCTTTTTAATTGTAAGTTTTATAACATGCTTTTTAATTGTAAGTTTTATAACATGCTTTTTAATTGTAAGTTTTATAACATGCTTTTTAATTGTAAGTTTTATAACATGCTTTTTAATTGTAAGTTTTATAACATGCTTTTTAATTGTAAGTTTTATAACATGCTTTTTAATTGTAAGTTTTATAACATGCTTTTTAATTGTAAGTTTTATAACATGCTTTTTAATTGTAAGTTTTATAACATGCTTTTTAATTGTAAGTTTTATAACATGTAATTTGACACGTTTACTACTTTGAAGTAAAACAGAAAAAACTTTAAAATAATTGAATGCAGAAAATGAGAGGATTTAATTCAATATTGATAATATTTAACTTAAAGTATGGTCTTAAATTACTCTTTTTTTTCTAGGATTTTATGTTTTTCGAAACAAGTAATCAAAACGACCATCACCACTAAAAAATTGTGTTTAAATTTAAAAACGACCATCACCACTGAAAAGCTTATAGTTGTGTTGAAATTTAAAAACAATCTTCACCGCTGTAAAGCTTATAATTGCGTTGAAATTTTAAATTATTGTTCTAATTTAGTTAATTAATAGGATAGTTTATTTCATTATAAATTTTTTAAATATTTTGCATTAATTATCGCACATTTTACAATTGTAAATTAATATTTTATAGAAAATAAATTTTGTCACGTATTTATTTATAATCATCGGTATCATTTTCACGCCACATTGTCCCTCACTCATCTCTTCATAGTGGTTTAGAATGACTTAAGGGGGTTGCCCAAAAAATAAACTTTTTTTTGACCCTGTGAATTTAATTAACCAAATTTTGGTATAAATGGCTGGTCTCAACTTAAAAAATATTTCAAACACACCAAACCATTTTTTTGTCTCGATTACCCTATTTTATCGCTAAAATGAGACAAAAAAATGAAATATTTCAAAACACAATATCTGCAGATGTGAAGATAGTTACTACTTCAAATTTTCATCATAGCTTAAGAACGATAGTAAAATCCATTTGACATATCAATTTTTTTATTGACTCACTTAGTCAAAAGTTATGCCTCTTTTAGTAAAAAGAGTGTTTAAAGCATAGTATTTTTTGTATAAATTTTACAAATTAGGAAGTTTTTTACCTCATTAAAGAAAAAGCCTATGATGTATGGATTATATATAATATATGAGTATTTCCTGAAAATTTCAACTTATTTTATCCATTCAATCTTGAGATATCATGTTTTAAAATTTTAAAAATTATATAAAACCATAAACATGAGAAAATCAAGTTTTTGTCTAAAATAATAAGAAAAAGATGTTAAAAACCACCAGCAGTGTAAGATTCACACTTTTCACTTTCATTCTCTTTATCCATGCACCCTTTTTTGAATGCTCTTAATTTTTTTCTTTGTTTTTTAACGATTGGACTTGATCGCTTTTCCATTCTAGTAACACGTTGGCAATCTCGTGCAATAGATTTATCAGCAGTCGCCTTTCCATGTAAGCCAAAATGTCCTAAAACTGCATTAACCCCGCCACTCCCATCATTATAATGTAAAATAGCTGAGTTAATTGAATATTCAAATGTTCTTCGTTCAATAAAAACATTCTTGGGACATCGAGTCCACACAACTGAGTTGAACAATTCATTAGTGTTTTGAGTTTGCCCGTGAACGCATTTGTTCAATAACTCGTCGTCTGATAAACTTACAAAGATCGGTTTTAAAAGGTAATGAATGGACATTGGTAAACTTATGGTGTTTTTGAATGTTTTTGTCTTTTTAGTCTTATCTAACTGCCATTTGCACCAAGAAGTGTCATCACGTGGACACATTTCATGCCGCTGGTTCTCATCGGTAAACGCAGTACAGTGAAACAACACTGAGCCGATTGCTTTTTTCATGGCATAAACATTGTATAAGTTGTTTCTTATAGCTTTTCCATAATAGGTTTGCATTGAGTTAATTATTTTTTCAGTCAACTTCCCCTTTCCTGATATGGGATTCTTTGTGCCTTTATGTGATTTCACAAGATTTCTAAGACGAGTACCTAAGCGCTTCTGAACTTGCCCAATACATTCCAATTTGAGAGGTGTTATACCAAAATCTTTATAGGGATTTGCTGCTATGACTTCTTTATAAGACGAAGAATCTCCATCACCTAAATATTCTTTGTAAATAAGGCTGTTCTTTTCCACAGAACGTTCAAAGATTTTAACAGCACCAGCTCCCTCCATAGCACCAGACGACTTACATGATTAATATTACATACATGTTTTGCTTTCCATCTATCATAACTTGATGAACTTTTTTGTTTCTCCCACATAAGGCAACCCTTACAGTGTTTAGAAAAAGCTTGTACATCAACTACTTTATCTTCAACAATACCAGTAACAAATCCATTAAGAGATGAATGGCCTCTTTTCTGCCACGCTCCATCTATTTTTATACGTTGTTGTGTTGGACCATCAGAAGAATCTTGAAGATCCTCTGCAGCTTTTTTCATGCTTTTTAAAGCTGCATCATTGTATGCTTTATATATTTCATTTGAGTTTAGGTTATCAAAAGCGTTTTTGGCTAAACCATACATGTTCATACATTGAGTAAATGTGTTTATACTTGAATGACCTTGACCAATCTCTCGAAAAGCTATCACCGCTCTTGCATTTGCTTCAAATATACTTCTTCCAGTGGTATTACTGCTATTCTTTACACATTCTTTAGATGAATAAACAGTATGACTCCATTGGTCACAAAATGTACATTTTAACTCGAGATTATGTGAAAATCCCATTCTTTTTTGTGTGTTATCAAATAAATTAATGGTTAGCATATGACATTTTGGACAAGCTATCTCTAAAAATAGATTTTTGAGAACAGAGAAGTTAATAAGTTAATAGTCATACAGGTCTTGACACTCCAAATGATTTTGAATACCCATATTTATATTATATATACCCATATTTATATCCATTCAAATAATGACTTTTAGTTTATTAAAATCCATAAAACATAAGATACACCAAATGACATTACTTTGATACGGAGTTGATGATTATTTGAAGAGGTAAACCCAAGATATTTGACACTTCAATTGAAGTCACAAATGAAGAAAAATGTCAAAAACAAAAATGTGAAGAAAAACTTTATATACCACTATATAAAAATTAGAAATAAAAGACTTCATATACCATTTTAAAGAGGATAAAATTCTACTCATAAAAAACATTTAAAAAAAAAAAAATTTCAAAAAAAATCAAGATTTATTTCTTGGGCAACCACCTTAATGGTAGGTCATATCCGTTTTAAATCATGTTCTATACATTCGGGAGGTTGAAAAAGAAAAGTGGTTTGTAAAAATTATTTGCGATGTGTTATAAACAGTGCTGTGGAGTCGGTGTCGTAGAGTCGCGACATTTATAGCAGAGTCGGAGTCGTTAAACAAAATTGCGACTCCCACTCCAATATTAAAACTTCCCAGTATTGCACATGCATGTATAAAATATGTGACCTTTAAAGAATTTTTCATATATTTGGCAAAAAATTTTTTTTTTTTAATTTGTAAAAAAAAATTATTCGAAATTAGCGATGCAATACAAATTAACAAATTACTTGATCAATAAGTTGATTTCAATTCATTCAATGAGCGTAAGTTGTTCATACAAGACAAGGTAAATAAAATAAATAATAAAAGTGTGCCATAATTTAAATTATTTAGTGCGTCAATAGTGGTTATTGATACAGTTAACAAAAAAGGTTTGTGGTTAATTTAAGTTTGAACAATATTCAGGATAAAATTTAAAATAGGTTGTTGTTATAAAAATATGACTACACCTTTTCAAGATGTAAATGAAAACATGAAAGTTGTAATTAAGTCGTAATATGTAATTAAGAAACACAACATGTAATTGAGAAAACGTTATATGTAATTGAGAAACACAACATGTAAATAAGAAGTCGTAACATGTAATTAAGAAACACAACATGTAATTGAGAAAACGTAAGATATAATTGAGAAATCATAATATGTAATTGAGAAATCGTAACTTGTAATTGAGAACACATAAATTAAAATAGCAAATTCACAGTCTAAGTTTGTAGGTAGTTACAAAAGGTCTTTTTGGACATGAATTTAAGTTATAATCTTAAATTTTGCTTTTGTATGCACAAGTAATAATAATGGAATTGAAAGATCGTTGTGTTATATGTCAATACACTATGACCCGAAAGTCTGTGATTAAGCTAAATCCGTGTCAACATTTATGTCACCAAATTTGTTTACGTCCAGTTCTGGAACAACCAGATTCAAGTTGTCCGATTTGTCGGCATGAAATACACACAACTGAACAAGTTGAAAGGAAACGTTACGTTTTTTCTTCTCCAAATGACAGGAGAAGAGTTGTTGAATGTGCGGAGCGATTTGAAGATTGGGTGAATCTCGCGCAAACGCTAGGTATCAAATATAAGACAGCATACAATTGGGTTCGCAGCGGAAATTCAAATTTCATCGGAAAAGGAGGTTTTAAATCGAAAAAGTTGACCGAAGAAACATTAAAATGGATTGAAAATGATCAAATCGAAGAAACATTAAAATGGATTGAAAATGATTGTCAATTAACATTGGTGGCCATCAAAACAAAGATATTAAGACAATTTAACATAAACGTTAGCACAACAACAATAGCAAATTACCTCGAAGGCAGATTGTTCTCATTAAAAAAAGTGCACAAGGAGCCTTCTACAATGAACAGTTATGAAAACAAACAAAAAAGAGCTGAATATGTTAGAAACATCAACGAACATATCACAAATGGTCGTCAGATAGTTTGGTTGGATGAAACAAATTTTAACCATTTTTGTAGAAAAATGCAAGGACGCGCGAGACAAGGAAAAAGAGCAATTATGAAAGTACCTGCTTCAAAAGGTTTAAACATACACTTGATCGCAGCTATTTCAACTACAAATGTTGTCATGATAGAAACTCGCAGGGGATCATTTAAAGCAGATTCCTGTAACGAGTGGATGTTGGCTATGTTTCACCAGTGGGTTACATCCGGGAATCGTTTGGAGGATTTGGTCGTCGTAACAGATAATGCTCCTTGTCACGCTCGTTTGCAAAGGGTGTTTGATAATTCACCAGCTCAGTTGTTACGTTTGGGACCTTACAGTCCAATGTTGAACCCGGTGGAAACGATCTGGTCCAAAATTAAAAGTAACGTTAAAAATGCAATTCGCATTCCACCTGTATTAGGTGACGGGATTGCGGAACAGCGCATGCAGTACTTAGAACGAATTGTAATTGAGGCGAAAAATACTATAATGGGAGGAGATTGTGCACGTGCGGTACAACACACAACCACGCACTATGCAACTAATATAAATATGGAAGACGTACAAGTTGGTGCTTAAATGATCAATGAAGTGATTTTCAATTATATAATTTTCAATTATAATTTTTAATTGAATTATAAATTTTTCCCTAAAATGTATTTAGTGTTTATTATGTTAAATTCAATTGCCCAAAAATTATAAATTTTTCCCTAAACTTTTCCCTAAAAAATTAAATTTACGCTACAAATCTTGCGTCATTTTTAAGTGCGTCATTTTATACGCTCCATTTTTTTACGCGCCATTTTTTTTAAGCGCCATTTTACACTTACTCCTTTAAAGCGATATCTAAATTAAAATTTTCGT